CGTCGAAGGCCATGAAACACCATGGCCTCTGACTTGTTAAGGGCCACCTCCAGGCCCAGGCACCGGATGCGGTTCACCACTTGTGAAACCGCAGCCGTGGCAACCAACGCTGCTTCCCTGTGCGAGCTCCCCCGGGCAGTGACGAGCGTGTCGTCCGCATAACAGGTCAAGTCAGCGCCCGACGGGAGCTCACCTCTCAGCACCCAGTCGTAGCCGATGTTCCACAGGAGCGGTCCCAAGACCGATCCCTGCGGAACACCGCACGACATGACGCGTCGACCAGCGCTGTCACGTCCCCAATACGTGACGCATCTCTCCTCAAGGTAGGCCCCTATTGTGCGGCGGAGGTAGGGAGGCACGCGATGGTAATTAAGCGCCTCCCGAATACAACTCCAGGGTAGGGTGTTGAAGGCGTTGGAGATGTCTAATGACACCGCCAGCACCACCCCACCCCGGGATACTGTCTCCTCCGCCAGGGCCCTCACGCGCGTAATAGCGTCTATGGTGGAGCGCCCGCGACGAAAACCAAACTGGTTCTCGTCCAGGTCTGGCCCCACTCTGCACAAGTGGCTGACGAGGCGATCTGCGATGATACGCTCAAGAAGTTTGCCCGCCTCGTCGAGCAGCACTATGGGCCGGTACGCGGACGGTGAGTCCGCGGGGGCGCCCCTCCTTCCTGAGTAGGACCAGCCTTCCCTCCTTCCACACACTGGGAAGCTGACCCTGCTCGAGACATGCCGTGAAGAGCCCCCCTCAGCTGGGGCTCCAGCTCCTTCAGAGCCAGGACGAGAGCTCGACCAGGAACTCCGTCGGGTCCGGGCGCTGTGTTCTTGGCCCGAAGTCGCGCCATGGCCGCTCTCATCTCTGCTTGCGTCACCTTGGGGACATCGGTGCTCTCCTCCTCTGGAGAGTCTGTGGCTGAGGGCGAAGCCATCGCCGGGGGGAACGTGTCCCACTCGTTCAGGGAAGAGAACTGATACCACCGTCTCTAGCAACTGGGGTTGCATTGTTTGCGTTAGTGGGGGCGCCCAGGAACGCAACTTGCCCCGTACCCAACGGTAGGGGCGCCCCCACGGATCCCGATCTAGGGACCCCAGCAGCTCCTCCCTGGCACGCGACTTCGAGTCGCCGATGGCCAGCCACAGAGTCTCCTTAGACGCGCGGTACACCTCATACAGCGCGTCCTCCTCGGCGGAATCCCGTCGACGCCGTCTCCGGTATCGGGTGTACCGGCGTCGGGCCGCAACGCACGCTATGCGCAATTGCGCGATCTCGGCGGTCCACCAGTACACCTGGTGCCTTGCGGACCGTTGGCGGACACGGGGCATGGACGCGTCACAGATCTGCGTCATCGCCCCGCGAAACCATAGCGCCACTGCTTCGACGTCGACGGTACTGTCCGTTGCCGACTCCCAGATCCAGGACTGGACTAAGGCAGCTTCCTCGAGTAGTTCCCTGTCGATGCGCTTAAGCGCCCAACGCGGACCGTCGTTAATCGGGGTAGTTGGATGGCGGCCTCTCGCAGTCTGGGCAGAGACGTCGAACCGGATATACCGATGGTCCGACAACGTCTCCACCCCTACGGCGACACGCCAGTCGCGGACTCGGCTGGCGACAGAGGGGCTGGCAAACGAGACGTCCACTATCGACCCGCCCCGCTGCCGCACGCACGTGAACCTAACCTAACCTAACCTAACCTAACCTAACCTAACCTAACCTAACCTAACCTAACCTAACCTAACCTAACCTAACCTAACCTAACCTAACCTAACCTAACCTAACCAGTTGCACTCCAAACGCCGTGCCGTACGCAGCAATTTTATATCGCTCCGCGCTCAAAAATAACAAGTGTCGAGTCAAAGTGTTCTAATTTTAAAGATCTACACACCGTTGGACGCGTCTCGTCGAGACGAAGACAGTGATACAATAAAAAAGTGATAAAAGTCTTATAGTTAACAAGTTATCACCAAAAAACTGGTTTTTATAACCTCTAAAACATTTATAGTGGAACGCTGCTCGATCAAGATCGAAGACCTATGGTTTTTATAGTGTCAAAGGAAGCGCCTTGACAAGCTTAAGAAATTAAGCTAATTAGAAAAATTTTCCGGCGCCTGAGCACCGAAATATTTGGGAAAATCTAAAACCACGTGGCCACGTGTTTTTAGATAGGAGGCCGTGCGGCTGATTTTGACATCGTAGAATCAAAGAGAACATCGAGGCAAAGCATCCGACACCTCGATCATCAAAATCGGACTAGAAATACCGGAGATACCACGCCTTGAAGATACCGACTTTCAGGAGGGACACAAGATCACCGATAGGATCGATGAAACCAGGGCTGCTATAGACGAAACGACCGAAGTGGTCGAGAGTCGAACGCACGCCCTGATCAAAGATCTGATCGGTGGTATTGCCGATGATGTCAGTACTGCCAAAAAGGAAATTCTGGAGGCCACAAAAGGGCTGGTATGCGAAATAAACGCAGCACCAGTCCCTAAGTCGTACGCCAGCGTCGCAGCAGCCAAACCGGTCCACCGCCCTGCACTTCACTCAATGGCGGTCACCCTCGAAGGTGGTCTGGAGACCGCTGACGAGGTGCTCGCTAGGGTGAAGAAAGCGGTTGACGCCAGAGGTACTGGCCTTAAAATCAACAAGGTTCGCAAAGCCAGGAACCAAAAAATCATACTGGGGTGCGACACCGAAGAGGAGAGGACGAAAGTCCAAAAGATAATAGAAAGTCGCGGCGAGGGACTAAAAGTAGCGCCAATAAAAAATAAGGACCCTTTAGTTATATTAAAAGATGTTTATTTGGACAAGGAAGAAGAAAACATAATTAAGGCGCTACACGCCCAGAACAAAGACGTTTTCATTGGCCTAACGGAAGAAGACTTAGAAATGATAATAAAATTTAAAAAGAGGACAAGGAACCCGAAAACCGTTCACGTCATTTTACAAGTTAAGCCTAATGTTTGGCAGAGGATGACGGAGGCTGGAGCCCTCTATCTAGACCTACAAAGGGTCAGAGTCGAGGACCAATCGCCGCTCATCCAATGCACGAAATGCCTTGGATATGGACATGGTCGGAAATTTTGCACCGAGAGTGTGGACAGATGTAGTCACTGTGGAGGACCGCATCTGCGCGAAAAATGCGCAGATTTTATCGCAGGTAGTGAACCACAGTGCTGCAACTGCTCACACTCTGGGTTGCGGAGGACCGACCATAATGCATTTAGTACTGAATGTCCGGTGCGAAGAAAATGGGACTTCCTGGCCCGTGCAAATACGGCCTATGCTTGAACGGTTTATGACAAAAAAACACTACACAAACAGACAGCCACAAAGCACACAGGAACACAGACACGACACACACAAACAGGAAAAACAAGACAACGAACACAAACTGATATACAGAATGTATATTGAATATACACGATTATATCAGCACAGTTACACTTACATGAATCACAACACTAACACAACACAAAAGAACAGTATGAAATAAAAACTAGTAAAAGAAGAGGACAATATATATATATAAAATTTGTATATATACTATATTGCCTAGGAAAGCGAGACAAACAGATAGAAGGATGTATAAAAGAAGACACATGACAGAATTCACAAATCCTGATATGTGCATAAATATTAAGACCTTCAAATTGCTAATGTAAAAATGTTTAAAATAAATAGATATAAGTTTTTACTATTATACAGATAATAAATATAAGAATGAAAATGGTAGAAATAAGATGATAGAAAATATTAGGTATATATAGATGTTAGACTTATACATGTTAAAATAGAATTAAGAAACAGAAATTGTAGAAATTAAGAAATAAGTATAAGTATAATAGTGTAAGTCAATAAATATGTAAGCAAGTAAGTTTATAAGTTAAATAAAAATAAGCATGTAGCATGTAGTGTAGTGATTGATAGTATATAGAAAATGTAAATACTATCGAAGACAAAACAGAAATAAAAATATGTACGAAATTTTATTTTCCTAAAGAAAAATAAATAATTAGGCATAGAATAGCGGGAGTCCCACCCGGCAAAGAATGAGCGTGGATGGATAAAAGAAAGAATAAGTATGCGGCCTGAAAGTGTGAATAAATGCGAGAACTGGAATGTATGAGAAATTTAGACTAACAAGGACCCGATGATCCCATGATCGGGGAAAAGCGAAAAAAAAAAAAAAAAAAAAAAAAAAAAAAAGAAAAAACCTAACCTAACCTAACCTAACCTAACCTAACCTAACCTAACCTAACCTAACCTAACCTAACCTAACCTAACCTAACCTAACCAACTATAAATTTGTAGATAACTTTCCTGAAAGTTGGTATTTTTCGTTCAAATTTTTTCTAAATAGTGTAGTTGATTGCCTCCCATATTTATTTATAGTTTTCTTACTAAATTTTAGCCGTTATATAATTAAATTTCGTATTTTTGTTCCCTTATTACAGTAAATTCATAGAATAAAACATAAATTCACCTATAACTTTGCTGAAAATTGGCTTATTCCGATTAAATTTTGTTTTTAAATAGTGTAATTCATTGCCCCCCCGTGTTTACATATAGTTTTATTCACAAATTTTCACAGTTAAATAGTAGATTTTCATGTTTTTCCGTTTCTTATAGTCGTAAAATCGTAAAATTTTTAAACTTTTCCAAATTTTCATTTCCTTCGATCTTTTTGCTCCTGTTAGGTCCGTCTTGTGTAGAAACCACCATCTGCACACCAATTTGCTTCATAAAACAGACAGAATCAGAAAAATCGCCCCCCCGCCCTCCCTGTTTGTCTTACTTAAGTAGACTTCTAGGAATTCTATATCGATTTTTATTTATATCGATTTTTTTTTATATATATATATTAATTTTATTATTTCTTGAACCTGTGAGTAAAAACACCTAGTTTAGACAAAAATTGATTTTCGAACCACCCAGTTTTCACTACCTTTCTTTCCTTTTTTGTATTATATATAATTCAAAAATTTATAATAATGGCTCCTGGTATTAGTGATTTGCCGATGCTGCCAGCGACGGCAGAAGAAATCACTAATGTTTCTATGTATACGGAAGTTGTAAATAAATTGGTTGCATGCATTGTGAATGCGGTCAATGATGGCAAGAGTGTCACAGCAGCAAATAAGCGCCTCATTACAGTTGCTTCCGAAGAAATAAGGAGAGCCAATTTGGTACTTACTAATATTACATCCACGTTGTCTAGTCCCGCTGAGGACCTCAAAAATGATATTATCACTTGTGTGCGTGAAGAAATTACTCATCTTAAGAAATCAATTAGCAGCCCTTCTCTAGGGCGATCCTCTTATGCTCAAGTTGTTTCTTCAAGCGCTAATCAATCACTCACGATAAACAACCACGTTACTCCCCTCCCCGCAACCAAACCAGCGTTAATCGTCACTCCAAAAACAGAAGTTAAAAATAAGCAGGAAGTTATCGACGTTTGGCGCAAAAGTATCAGCTTCCGTGCCACCAGATATGCACCTGCTCGCGTTCAAACAGTGTCACACAATAAATTAAGGGTCGAGTTCGATAACGAACAGCAGCGTGACGAAACTCTAACACGTTTATTGAACTCAAAGGTAGTTACAGCTGAACCTGCACGAAAACTTAGACCCATGATAATCCTCAAGGGAATTTCTGTTGACACTCCAACTGAAGAATTAGTGGATATTATTAAAATGCAAAATGCTGAACTATCTGATACCATTACAGAACAGGATGACTTAAAATTTTGCTTCAAACGCAGTAACAGAAACCCTCACCTATACAATGCAGTTTTTCGGGCTCAACCCACGGTTTGGAGAAAAATCATCAGCATGTGTAAATTATCCATCGATCATCAGCGTATACACGTTGAGGAATTTTCACCATTTATGCAATGTCATAAATGTTACCAGTTTGGACACACAAAGAACAAATGTACTTCGGAAAACACTGCATGCGGTCATTGTGCCGCAACCACACATAATTCTGAAAACTGTCCTAAAAGAGACAATCCGGACTGCGCTCAGTGTATCAACTGTGTCGCACATAACACCAAATTTAGCACAAAACTTGATACCAAACATAAGGCTACATCCACTTATTGCCCCAGACTGCGAGCCATGAAAGAAAGAATCTTAAACCGAATTGACTATGGATCAAGTAAATAAACTCAAAGTACTACAGTGTAACTTAGATAAATCCAAGAAAAGTCAACATGAATTTGTTCTTTCTTTTATAGCCGGCCATTTCCAAATTGCACTGGTGTCAGAGCCCTATGTGGGATCTGGCAATATTGTTAAACCCATCCCTGGTATCAACATATTTCAGTTCCCCAATGGTAACAGGGTCAAAGCGTGCATAATGACAAAATCTAGCTGTGATTCCGTAATAGGTCTATCCCAATTTTCATCGGCTAATTTCAGCGCAGTTCTATTGAATATTGAGGGCAGTAAACTGTACATAGCATCCGTCTATATCGAGCCTAATAGTGATGAAAACAATACATTGCAAAGGGTAGAAAACTTTTTAAAAATGACCAGTAACTGCCATCAGTTGATTGGCGGTGATTTTAACGGTTGGCACCCTATCTGGGGTAGCGACCGAGCAAATTCGCGGGGAAACGAAGTTGTTGACATTGCCTATGGCAATGACATGTTTTTCTGTAATATAGGCCATACTCCTACTTTTGAGACAGTTTCATATGGACAAGTGCGTAGTTCTTATATTGATCTTACCCTTGCCTCTAGCTCTATTTATGACCGGATTGGGGACTGGAAAGTTGATCCTTTAATCTGTCCATCTTCTGAACACAGGGCAGTAATATTTTCAGTCGCAACTCGTGGTGAAAGAAGAAAAACCAACAAAACAACCAGTACGTTTAGATACAATACGAATAACATAAAATGGGAGGAACTAAGACCTTTCTTTGAAACTAAAATTATGGAATATGTACCCCAAAATGTTACAGTTGAACAGATGCAGGCAAATGAACTGGAAGATTACATAATTTCAGTTACATCGGCAATTCAAAGAACATGTGATGAGCTGCTCCCAAGGTCAACTGGTCGAAAATACCGCTGCCCTTGGTGGACAGACGAACTTGAAAGTCTCAAAAAACAAGTAATACGCAACCATCATAACATACAAAAACTTCGCCGACAAAATAAACCACTTAAGGACGCCCTTTTGGAAAAAGAACGCTTAAAAACTGCTTATTCAAAAACCTTTAGAGAAACTTCCACGCGAAATTTCAGAGACTTTTGTGAAAAGCAAGGGAAGGAGGATGTGTGGTCCGTTACAAATAGAATAATCAAATCAAACCCACCTCCGCTGCCACCAGCCACACTAAAGAAATGCGATGGTACATACACCAACTCTAGCCTCGAAACCGCCCAAGCTCTTCTTAATAAGTTTTTTCCCGATGATGACATAAATGATACACCACTTCAAGAAGAAGCTCGGAAAATTGCAATTACCGTACCTAATACTCAAGATGAACCCCCCTTTTACCTATGAAGAAATTCGCAGTAGCTTAAATAGTATTAATCCGAAAAAAACACCCGGCACTGACCATCTTACTTCTGACATTTGCTTATTATTTGCCGAAAGCTTTCCAAATCTTATTACTTCAGTCATTAACCGATGTTTTAAACTGGGATATTTTCCAAATATCTGGAAGATAGCTTTTATCAAAATCCTCCCTAAGCCCCACAAGAACGATTATTTAAATATTTCTTCTTTCCGCCCCATAGGTCTAATTAATGTATTTGGAAAACTGTTTGAAAAACTAGTTATACGTAGGTTAACATATTTCATGCACCAAAAAGATCTTTTTAACTCAGCACAGTACGGTTTTAAAGAACAAACATCTACCATCAATGCATTAACCAACATAATAAATATTACCAACCAGGCCATAGCCAATAAAGAGCAAGTGCTTGCAGTTTCTTTAGACATACAAGCTGCATTTGACTGTGCTTGGTGGCCGGCAATATACCGCAGACTACATAAAATTGGATGCCCCCCGTAACATCTACTCTATTTTGTGTAGTTATTTCCAAAATCGATCTGCAATTATACATTTCGGAGACAGCACAGCTATAAAAACTCTGACGAGAGGTTGCGTCCAGGGTTCGGTTTGTGGCCCTTTCCTATGGAATTTAATTGTGGACGAACTTCTCGATATGGATATGCCACCTGGAGCTACAATACAAGCATTTGCGGATGACATATTTCTTCTTGTGCGCGCCAAAGATAGTAATAATTTACAGCTTAACGCAAATAATGCTTTGAGTATAATCACTAAATGGGGTCTGGAAATGAAACTTACTTTTGGAGTTGCCAAAACACAGGCCATCGCATTTACTTGCAAGGCAGCGAGGTGCAAGCTCTATATGTCTGGTCATATCCTGAATTTTTCTAACGAGATTAAGCTTTTAGGCGTTTTAATAGACAAAAAGCTCAAATTCATAAAACATGTAGATTTCATCGTCAACAAAGTCCGTAAATTGTACACTAGGTTAATAACGTTCGTCAAACCAACTTGGGGCATTCACTCCGAGAATATAGAAATTATCTATAAACATGTGATTGAGCCAATAGTCTGTTATGCTTCTTCTATCTGGCAATCAGCAATCGGGTACAAATGTGTGACAGAGAAACTACTCTCTTTGCAACGCAATTTTGCCCTTAGAATTATCCGTGGCTTTAGAACCGTGAGTACAGTCGCTTGCATATCAATCGCTCAACTATGCCCACTCCCAATAAAAATAAAGGAAATAGCAGATAATGAGCGCACAAGAATCACACAAGTTTCACAGTACCTACCTTCTGATGTTACTCTAGACGTCCCTGCTAAACCAGGAAATTTATTACATCCCTCTTTGCGAAAACCTATTAAATTTACTGAAGAACAAATACCGACAGAAAATATTATAAATTCTTATCGTATTTACACCGATGGTAGCAAGCACAGCAATAAAGTGGGCGCTGCATTTGTTATACACAAACCGAACGGAGAAAAACTAATACGCAAATACAAATTACATGACTCGTGTTCAGTCTTTCAAGCCGAACTCCTGGCCATTTCTAAAGCCTGCGAATGGATTATAGAACACAAAATCAATCCAACATATATTTTCTCAGACAGCAAATCAGGTCTCCAAGAAATTGCAAACGAAAACAGTTACAACTCCCTCGTAGTATCGATTCATAGGATAATACAACGAATTGAATCACTCAATTTAAAAGTCAGTCTTTGCTGGATTAAAGGTCACATCGGAATTTCAGGCAATGAAGAAGCGGATGCAGCTGCCAAAAGCGCGGCAACCTCCCACCGATCTTATGAATTTCTCAAATTCCCAATAAGCCATGTAAAATATTTAAATCGACAACAAGCCATTAAAGGAACAGAAAACTTTTACTTTGAAAGTGACAAAGGCATATATACCAAATCTCTATGTCCTACTTATGAGCAACTCACCCTAACTGTTAAAGCACTGGCACCTAATTTTGCTATAACTCAGTATCTTAGCAATCATGGATATCACAAGGAATATCTTCATCGTTTTAAAATAACCAATGATAATAAATGCCCATGCGATCAAACTAGTGTACAATCCATGACACATCTTATAAGAAACTGCCCTGCATTTCTTAGAACAAGAATGGAACATGAAATTGCGTGCACTATGTTAAAGATAGAACCATATAATTTATCAGAAATAATTTCCAAAGAAACTACTATACAAACTTTTAAAACCCACGTCAATTACATTATAAGTCAACTAAAAAACTTCAACAACAATACAGCAGTAGTAAATTAAAATAATTGAACATTATATGCCTCATAAGTAAATTCAAGAAAAACTGGAATAAAAGTATAATAATAAGATACCCTATGTAAATAGTAATTTTAATTTTACTAATTCTATTAAGGTAGTCTATAAATATTAAATATTTATTAATTATAAATATTTATATATAATTATGTATGAATATGTATATTTATGTTTAGTATTAAACAAATTAATTTTCCAATTGTCTTGCATAAAACATAAATCAAATTCTTATCGTAAAATATTTTAGGTAACATTATTAAAATATATTATGAAAACCATTGATGAAAGTTATCAAAATAAATATTAACAGAAATCAAAGCAAAATGTGGAGCAAATAGAACCCATCATTTTAAACAAAAATTTCGCAACCATAAGGAATTGTATACCGATAGCAATTCCTCATGGAAAAGAAGAAGGAGGAAAAAAAAAAAAAAAAAAAAAACCTAACCTAACCTAACCTAACCTAACCTAACCTAACCTAACCTAACCTAACCTAACCTAACCTAACCTAACCTAACCTAACCTAACCTAACCTAACCTAATCTAACCTAACCTAACCTAACCTAACCTAACCTAACCTAACCTAACCTAACCTAACCTAACCTAACCTAACCTAACCTAACCTAACCTAACCTAACCTAACCTAACCTAACCTAACCTAACCTAACCTCAGCAGGCGTATCGAAAGTCTCGAAGCAGAGGTCCCTAAAACAAATACGCCAACAAAGACCTCGTCAACCAATGGGCAGGATGTGGCCCTCAGGAAACTAGGAGAGGTGGAAGAAAAACTGATCGAGCGACTAAATGAGATAGAGCGGAGTCTGAAGGCGGATATAGTAGGACTCCATAATGGTAATAACGACCGAGGCTCCGACATGATCGACAAGATCATCGACAGGATCGATGAGACCAGAGCTGCCATAGACCAAACGACCGAGGAGGTCGAGAGTCGAACGCACGCTCTCCTTAAAGATCTGGTCGGTGGAATTGCCGATGATGTCGTCACAGCCAAACAGGAACTTATGGAGGTCGCAAAAGGACTGGCATGCGAAACAAACGCAGTCCCTAAGTCATACGCCAGCGTCGCAGCTGCCAAACCCATCCACCGCCCTGCACTTCACTCGATGGCGGTCACCTTCGAAAGTGGTCTCGAAACTGCTGACGAGGTGCTCGCCAGGGTGAAAAAGGTGGTCGATGCTAGAGGCACTGGCCTCAAAATTAACAAGGTGCGCAAGGCCAAAAATCAAACAGTCATAGTAGGTTGCGACACTGAAAAAGAAATGAAGAAAGTTCAGGAAATAATAGAAAGTCGTGGAGATGGACTGGTAGTAGCGCCAATGAGAAACAAAAACCCTCTTGTTGTCCTAAAAGATGTGTTTGTTGATAGTGAAGACGACGACATAATCAAGGCGCTCTACGCGCAGAATAAAGAAATTTTCGTGGGCCTACCTGAAGTGGACAAGGAAATGCTGATAAAATTCAAAAAACGTACCAGAAATCCCAAAACAGTGCACATTATCCTTCAGGTAAAGCCTAACGTATGGCAGAGGATGACGGAGGCTGGAGCCCTCTATCTAGACCTACAAAGGGTCAGGGTCGAGGACCAGTCTCCGCTCATCCAATGCACGAAGTGCCTTGCATTCGGACATGGTCGGAAATTTTGCACCGAGAGTGTGGACAGATGCAGTCACTGTGGAGGACCGCATCTGCGCGAGAAATGCGCAGACTTTACTGCAGGTAATGAACCACAGTGCTGCAACTGCTCACACTCTGGACTGCGGAAGACCGACCATAATGCGTTTAGTGTTGACTGCCCAGTGCGGAAAAAGTGGGACTACTTGGCTAGAGCAAACACGGCCTATGCCTAATTCACATGCAGGAAATTACACAACACATACACACGGTCACAAAAGCACACAGATACACAAACACGATACACACAAACATGAAATACATAACAAAACGATTACAGTTTGATATACAGAATGTATATTGAATATACACGATTATATCATACAGCACAAAAACACTTACATGAACCACACACAGTAACTCGAAACAAAAGAAAAATGAAGTATGTAACTAAAACTGGCAAAAGAAAAAGTCAATAAATATGTATAAACTTAGTATATATATGTTATTGGCTCGACAAAATAGTTGGAAAGTGAAGCAAAGTACAAAATCTGACACAACATTACAGAAAGCTCACCAATCCCGCAAAATGCAAAATCGACAAGATCTTACGAAATTGTAAAACGTAAACGCAATAATTAAATGAAGTACTATCTGTTGTACAAATGATAGAAATAAGAATAGAATTAAGGAATATATAACTGAAAAATGCTAGCAATAGGAATTAAGTATGTATATATTGATGTAAGTTTAATAGACGTAAATAGAACTAAGAAATAAGAAATGTAAAAGTGTAAGATCATAATGATAAGTAACCCATGTAAGTCAATAAATGTGTAAACCTAAGAAAGTTGTAAATTAAAATAAGAATAAGTACATTGAATTTGTAAGGCTAGATATTATATGTAAGCAAAAATATTCGTGTAGAAAAAACAAAAATTAAAATAGTGAGAAACTTTATTTACCCAAATAAAAGCATAAATATATATATATATATATATATATATATATATATATTAGCATAGAATAGCGGGAGTCCCACCC